TTTGTAGTACGTCCTTACCTTCCCAAATAAATCATACGATGAAATATCAAGAAATCGAACAAGGTTGCAGACATCAGCATGACAGGAGTAAATGCTGAGGTAAAGACAGGTCCTCGTTGTTTAATACACCACGATATTCCCACCGTACACATTCCTTGTGCAACCACACCCTATAAAGATACATACACCCAGTTTTATCAATGTTAAAAATGATTTTGAATCCAAATACATATTAACTAAAATCCGGACTAATCCTTGAGCATGTGAAGCACCGGATATTTTTGTTAGTAGAGATGTATATAGTGGCCAAGCGTAATTAAAATTGTAGTGGAAAAATTCAAATCTTAGTCTGAAACTAGGTAGAATCCTTTAAATGAGCCACCAATTATTTATTCACTTCAATTATTAACAATTTATATATATACATGAATGTACCGCTATAATGATGGTGATGATAGTGAGTCTGTCTTTGAGGATCCATTCATCCACATTTCTAGTCTTGATCAAGCTAAGAAGGGCGCATTGAAGTGTACCAAAAGCCGATAAGATAACGGTGCTCGAGTATGGACAAGGGTAATTCACGTTGACTTTAGCTTGTATAAGCATCCAAGAACTGAAGAACATAACTGATATGAATAAAAGTATACAACCTTTGGTCCAATGCGCATGTTTTGTGAGATGGTTTAAGGTCGATGCTTGTTCTTGAGAGTTTGTTAACGGAATGCCTTGGTACATCGTAAGAACTAAAGCTCCTCCTAAACTTATCATAGTTCCAAGAACCATGCCGTATCCCACTTTTGTTTTCATATTTAGCTTTTCGAACCTGTTATTTTTTTTTTACAATAAGAGAGTGTGAGAGTACACTTAAAATGATGACAAAGGGGAATACCTAAAATATGGTGATTAGTAAATAAATGTACCTAAATATTAAAGCCATAATGAAAGTCAGGGCGGGCATTATCGCCGTGAAAGCAGATCCCAACGTGGCAGAAGTATAGGTAAGCCCGAGCAAGTAGAAATATAGTACCAAGCTCGCCCTGAGAGAAAAATATATTATGATAAAAATCCAGTTCTTATACACAAAAGACACTTAACTGAAAGAAACTATGAGCATGGATTAGAACTGAAACTTACCCAAAAAGAGCACTGATGAAAAGCTGACAGAAAATGCTTATGGTTAGCTTCGGCCTTGTTTTCCTGGTGGAGATTAGTGCATATTGATTCAGAAACTAAGCGTCCAATTTTGTATAGCAATTAATTAAGCATTAAAAGAAAGAATAATTTTCTAATCTTTGCTGAGGTTTCAAACAGGTAACGGACATGTAAATAATGAAAAAAATAAGAAACATAACCAAAAAACAAAGAAACATAATTGAAACAAAAATTAGACTTACCGTTCCCAAAAATAAGCGATTGGAAGAAGAAAAAAGGTGGAAATACCCAAACGAAAGGTAGCAATAACCATATGATTAATGCCTCCATCAAGAACTTTCTTAATCAAAGCATTAACCATCCCATTAATCATGTGAATCACAGTCATCATGACTAATGGTATCCATTTTCCATCGATATAACCCATGATTAGCAAGTAAATTAACTATTTGTTAATTACTTAATGTAGCTCCCCTTCTCTAGCTGTCCCTCTCTCCCTCTTCTCTATAATGTATGTTCTGTATATCTTCTTTATTAACTTGTGTTTTTTTTTTTGCTAAAATTTGGTGATCTCAATGGATGGTTTTGGAAAAGCATAGAGACTCGGTATATTTATATATTATCACATATATATTTTTATATATCATATGATAAGAATGAACTGTTAGCTATCAATTCTTAAACACGTGAACACATTTTTTCTCTTTGAAATATTTAGTATATATAGTATCTATACTATTAAAGCTGAAGTACAATTTGCAATCAAGAATAAGAAAATTTTAAAAGTTTGATTGGAAACATGGATAGCATATAAATCTAATGGACTTATTTATTAAACTAAAGATTACTGCGACCCAAGATACTATTATAATTGTTTTGGGGTTTTCTATCATTGATATTACTTTACTTCTGAAAATTACTTATACATATATGTATTCATGTTTTAAATGTATTTAGAATAAATCAAGAATAATATATATTTTCTTTATATAATTTATATTAATTATTCTTAAAAGTTTTTAACAGTGATATACTAGTCTTCCAATTCTTCATTAAAAATTTCACTTAAAATTTGACTAAATTATTTAGTGTATATAACTTTGCACAAAATTTAGCCAAAATTTTTTTTATAAACTATTACTAAAATGTTTAAGGGTTACAACATTTTACAACGCCTCTATTACATAATACAGTGATTAAATATAATGTTTAAACAATATTCTATTACTTAGTAAAATTGGAACCATTAAATTGTAATTTTGAAATGTTATATATACCAGAAAAACAAGGATCCGCCCAGTCGGACGGATTTTAATCTAGTTGGGTGTTAAAAGTCTAGTAGTTCGATAAACAAATTTGTTAGGACTCAGAAAACTAAAATTTTATCTTAATTTTGTGTTTCTTTTGTCCATAAAGGCTATATAAGTTTTTATATATAAATGAGGAACTTTAATTCAACTTGTTATCAACAAAGTTAAGTATAATCAGAAAATAAAATTTGTGTCCTATAAATTCAAGAGGCGTCTTAACTTCTTTTTGGTCAAAAGGGAGTCTTAACTTCTAAGCTTAATTATAAAAATTAAAGTGTGTTTCAAAATTTAGTTTTGCTTACTAGTATAAAATTTTCCTTTGTTACATGAAAATGGTTTAGCTTTATCCAACTTTAGCTTTTCGAAATGATGAAATTGGTCTCTATTAATTAACAACGTTAACAAATACAAACCACTTGTTATTCACTAGTACGACCGAAGCTTTATGAAAATAAGGAAAAGGATTGTTGAATTCAAAGGCAAGATCAGAAGAAAAAAGAAAAAAAAAATATCAAGCTTAAAAGTTGAGCAAATCAAAACTTTGGCAATGATGGTTCTAGCAAACCAATATCGGACGAAGAACTGGCCGCGGTTTTAGATGACTAGTTTTAAACTTCAGCATGGTGAACAGTATTTTATACAAATATATTTTTGTAGTAATGTTAATTTTGTTTAATCGGGTTACGTGAAGTAGTATGTCGTACGTTACAACTTAAAAATAACGTATGCTTTCAAAGAAGTTCTCCCTAGCAGTCTAAAGTAACTTTAACTGCCTTCTAGCTTTCGGCGAGTCACGCCAACGTCGTGAGAGGACTTCTTCCGTCTTCTTTTTCTATTCTTTCTCTACCGAGCTTTCAGCCATCTGAGCCGATTTCGTAGCTAGGCTTGATTCTCCGACGGTGTGACAATGGTTCTGCAGCGGATACTGTCTGCTCCACGTCAGTATAACATACTGATATGTTAAATATATAGTCATGTAGAACGAACATCTAATCTCAAAGTTAAAATTTCAACTTGCGATAAAGTACAACTAGCTTAGGGTACTGGATGTTACATTTAAAGATCTTGTGAGGTTTGGTCAAAGCCCATCAGACGTGTTCAATTTGGGCCGGTTTTGGACAAGTTACGCGCGGACAACTTATGGGCTATTCATTAAAGCCCATTAGGTTAAATGGTGACAATACAAGGAGGAAGAGATCACGACAGGGATCTCTAAGCACAAGCTACGCCTCTTGGAGGCTGAATCCTCAAGCCTCAGAGGAGTGCTTCCATGGCATCTCTTGAGTAGGTCCAGAGCTTAGCTTCCGTAACAAGTGGGTATCATAACAGTATAAGTGGTATCCAAGCGCCAACAAAGTGGTATCAGAGCTCAGACTCATCGATTCGCGGAGTCCACGTCTCTAGGAGGATAGACATATGAAGGAGCTTCCAAGCAATAAAGAAGAATTTCAGGGTTTAGTGGAAGCTGGTGGTCACGGGATTCTACACACGTGGAAATCTGGTTAGTGAAAAAAAATCAGAGGATAAACGAGATCAAGATCAGGTTAAAGAGGTTTTCGTTTTACAAGAGACGAATGAAAGCTGTTGAACGTTCTTTGCGGCAGTTGCACAAGTTTATGGAGGAAAGATTCAAGAGTCAGATGAATCGGTTGTGATGATTTCTAGTTTGAAATCAGGGTTCTCTAGAGTTCTCCAAGGGTGCAAGAACGTGCTACTATGTGAGAAGGACTTGAGGTTACTCACAAGATAAGATGGTGGCAGGCTGCTAGCATAAGGAAGAGAGTTTTTCAGAGCTGTCCAAGATATGCGGTCACAAGACATGTGTGACTATATGCATTGGAGTTTCGGATTTCTTCATGATCTGCAAGTTATCATGGCTGTTCGAGTATCAGATGGTATTCTTTAGTCAGCGTGAAGGGTGTCGAAGAAGGGTTGAAGTAAATTGGCTGGTGCAGGGTTTGTTTAGGTGTGATTATGAGAGTCTACAATTGGGTAGATGTTCAGAGAACAAGATACTACAAGGCTGCTATTTTCAGAGGGAATGCAGTGTGGTTTTCTAAGCAGATATGTGTTTGGCGTAACACATAGTTTTCTGCTAGGATGGATCTGCGAGAACGAGGAGTTATTTGTTCAAGGCAGAGTTCGGCTGAACAGGTGGCGGTGTCAAATCAAGATTGTTTCGGGTTTTCTGCATGGATTCAGTAGTAGTTTGTTTTGGCTTCTCAGGCATATGAGGGGAAACAAATGGGTCTACAAGGTATCTTGGTTGCAGAGAGGTAATAATTTGTTTGAGCAGAGGTTGAGCAGGGATTCTTTGCGTCGAAAGACTTCTTAGCAAGTTGAGCTAAGCGGCGGGTTCTGTTGGCAACAGCAGCGGTTCATAGAGATTTTCAAGACAAGGTGTTCATTCAGGTTGTTACAAAGGAAATTCTCAGGAGAAGAAGTTTGGTGTCTATAGGCTATTGAGGTTTGTTATGGTATTGAGTCAAAGGGCTCTGGTTTGAGGCAGTGGTGATTCAGGTTCCGTAAGAGCTTCAAGGTAGCATCGACATCAGCTGGATAAATTCTGGAGAAGAAGAATCAGTAGATTTGTAGTCACAATCACATCATGTGTGACGAACCATAGATGATGCTTAAGATATGCAGCATCAGAGAGAGAAGCAGATGGCGGTTGTTTTGTGGTAGGCAAAGACGACGTCATGAAGGGACAGAGGAAGAAACGTTTACAGGAGGATCTTAATGCACGTGATGGTTTCAGGTTTGGGAAATCATGATGAGAGGCTTGCAAGGGATGCAGCAGTGTTTGCAAGAAAGAGAAGACATGCGTAAGCTGCAACAACAACAGCTGCACAGGTGGGCGTGTTCGTGATTAATGCTGGAGATTGATTTGAGTTTTCTGGGATGGAAGATATCTCAAGTTAAAGATAGATTCATATTAAGTCAAAGCTAGACTTAAGAAGGCGGAATCAAAGATCATCAATCTCTCTGGAACTGAAGTTTTTTTTCAGAGGTCACAAGGAATGCAGGTTGTCTTTGCGAAAGATGATCAACGGATCTTGCAGCTGCACAGGTTGGTTGTCGTGTGGCAACAATATGACGAAGCAGAAGTGATTCTGTTTTGGGTCAGTTCAAGTCAGTCTCGTGGGTGCATGAGAGGCAAAGTTTCTGGCTACTTGAAGAAAGCCAGAGGAGTCACCAAGTTAGTGTGACTAAGACAGGTTGTACCTCCACGAAGAAGAAACTAGAGCAAGGATGGGTAAAAGCCTACACAAGGGTATGTTGTAGCAAATGGCTATTTGTGGCAACATGGAGCAGCTTTAGTGAAGTCGTGTGAGTGACAGGAAACTTAAGAGAAGGCGATTCAAGGTTAGACTTAGCTTGAAGATTCTTGTCAAAGGCAGAGGAAAATGCGCAGGCAGAATCGGGTTGAACAGGTTGTTACGACTGATTGTAACCCTGAGAGTAAAGGGTAGGAGACAACAGTCATCAACACTTGTTCAAGAAGCAGGAAGTCGCTACCACAGCTAGTAGAAGCATGTGTGAGTTATGCCTTAGAGGAGTCGTCATGGATGTCTGAGTCGAAAATTCAAGATGAATAGATTCAGAGGAGAAGTAAGGGATGCCGTTTTGGTGTCACGACCATAGGGGTCAAGGTGGAGCTCTCAGACAACAATCGAAGCTCAGGAGCAAAATGAGAAATTTGCAGACTTGACCAGGTCGGAACTTCTTGCTTGAACATGTTATGGTTCAAGTATAGTTACAGCTGGAGAAACTCGTCATGGGTCCGAGTTTGACACAAGAGAAGCTGTAAGGATTATCTCAGGAGCATCACAGACGTTGATGATGAGAGAAATTGTTAAAGGCCGACAGGAACCACGAACAGTTGCAGAAACTTGGTTAATTTCCAGAGACATGGTACTGTAAAGGTTATTTGATTCAGGTGGAGTCACTAAGATTATATGAGGAATGATGCATCAGGGATATATAATCTGATTCTAAGTGGAGTGAGTCACAGGTTCTCTGTTTTAGAAGATGTCTTGATTGTTTCAACTGAAGGGTAAAAGTTTCGGTTAGCAACTTGGTCAGCTCAAGAGAGTAAGAGCTGAAAGGGAACTTGATTCCATGATAAGAGGGTCGTGGATATGTTCAGGGTGTCAAGGCCAGAAGTGTCAAGATCAGTTAACAAGTACAAGGCGCATCATAAGGAGTTTTGTAAGAGGAGTCTTACATAAGGTTACTTGTAGGCAAGACAAGTG